AGTCTGTGTTATCACAGGTCCGTAATTCTCAGCGAATGAGGTCAGTGAAGAAGTGTTTGTGGACACGGTTGAGATCGGATGTGTTCTGGTTTGATCAGTCAAACTGGCATTTACGGTGGGGTTTGTGGTGACAGTTGTAGCAACAATAGTAGTAGTGGTAGATGCAGTAGTTATCGCGTTCCATTCACTGGAGTTCTGTGCCAAATTATCACCCTTTACAAGAAAACGGAAACAGCAGAAGAAGTTGAGTGACTGAGTGAGTGTAAGAAAACAAATGCTTATTTAAAGTACGCTTTTCTCAAGATAAATTTGAGTGAACATTAAAAACTCAGATTAAACTATATTTAATTTCACAACCATTTCTTTGCGTCTCACCTGGTAGTTACTGTAAAAAGTGAAATAGTTTACTTATCACGAAGATTGATAATCTATCACAATATCAGTTCATTATTTCGCTTACTCGGTTACCATAACAATATCAAACTGATAAAGATCACCTTCTGTTGGAACAGCAGGGCATTCCGCGCTTGTTTGCTACGGTCTCTGAAATCTTAACAGCTATCGGTTCGAAGTTGTGTAGCTAATCCAGCACGATGTCGATCGATCAACCTGGAGGCTGATCTTGAGTGAACAACAGTTGAGATGCAATGTAACTGTTCGGGACTTAAATCATTCTCAATTTGTTTTCTTTATTCAACTATGTTTCTTCCGCAAAATGTGTAGCATATGCATTTTGACTGATGAGGCAAAGAATAACTGTTTGTCCCCCTCCCACCAAAATCATGCACTGACGCTGCCATCTTCAGCACAAGGTGTAAATCAATTTCCCAGTTCTGCTTTCCCCTGTATTTCTGTATTTCTTGTTGAATAACTTACGGATGTGATCTTCTCATACAACCTCATAAACTTATTAGCCGAAAAATGTACATCAGTCTTAATTTCGTGATCTGGTATTGAACCAGCAAAAAACATTTAAATATAAGTTACTCTTAATGCGATGGAAATGTTTGTGATAACCAACAAAGAGCACTGGACAGCTGTTTCGTCCTGTTTGGGACTCGTCAGCAGTGCGTACCTTTGTTTTCCTGTCAGGACTCGAACCGCAATTTTTCGGGCTGGGACTGCAAACCCTTACCCTTGGGCTACACGATCGATGGTTATCACCTTGTGCGAATGGGACTTTAAGTCCCAGCCCGAAGAATTGCGGTTCGAGTCCTGACAGGGAAACAAAAAGTACGCACTGCTGATGAGTCCCAAACAGGACGAAACAGTTGTCCAGTGCTCTTTGTTGGTTATCACAAACATTTCCATCGCATTAAAATGCCAACAAACAGTGGGGAATTAACGATTTCCCAAGGAGTGAAACCCACATCGAACATCATCAACAGTGCCTGGTGCCTGTAAAAAACCGAATGGGCTAATCCAAACATTCATCATCTATAAGTTACTCTTATTGCTGAGACTAAACATGAGAAGAACCCGTGACGACCTTTAATAATCGCATTAAAACACAACGCTTTTAAAAACATCTTGGCGTTATTCTTCAAAATAACCTTACTCCATTTGATGATTTCATGAAAATATCCCTCGCACAATGTAACACAAAATTGTTCGGTCTCACTGGATCCAAAGGATCCCTGTTCTTCTTCCCAATCTATCCACTGTGGAGGTGTGGTGATCCAGGCCTACGAGATGACACCTACCCTGGAGCGGCGCGTTACAGTTTTTGGACACCTGCAATCAATCAAAATTTAAAGGTGACGTCAATGACGCGCGTACGTGTCACTGCTTCTGACTACACATCAAAGGCAGATCGTGCCAGTCAATCCGAGACAATGCAGTCCAGACAGAAGCAGAATGATGCGAGCAATACTGGAATGCGATTGGGGGAAGCCTGGATAACCAATGACCTTCTTTTGTACATAATATTTATTCTCCCTCATTTCTTCTAATAAATGAGCTGCGAACTACCATTCCTGTGGCCTTTTCCTCGCGTCTCAGTTACATGGGACATTGCGTGCTGGCGCCATTGCGGTCTAGTGCTTCCGTGATCCAGTCCGTGATAGCTGATCCTTGATTCGTGGTCCGTGATTCGTATTACGTGGTTTGTGTTCCGAGTCCAGTGCGCATTGCTACAACTACTACTACTACGATCATTACAGGAGCCCAAACCCCATCTCCAGATTCCTCACGTTTCTTTTTCATTTATATTCGCTCATCGGCTGAGCACCTTATACAGTTGGCTACAATTCAGCGTCATGTGATACTCGTGTGATATTTTTACACTAAGTTTTATCTGACGATTTTCATCTCCCCCACCCCCGCAACCACCCAATCACGTGCACGCAATCACTAGGTGCCTCTTCTTCATTCACTCATTCTGGCTTTGAAAACGGCTTGGCTTTCCAGTGCTCGGCTTATCTTGGCCTGTCTAATGGTTTTGTTTTTTCTGGAAACCCTTTGATTGAATTACAGAACAACCTTGCTCTGAACAATCTATTACTTTTATTTTCTGCTCCATACTGTACCGTGATATATGATGATCGGGTACTTGCGGAATGATTTTTTAAATGGAGGTAGAAAATATTTGAGTGCATCCCAGTTCACTTTGACGATCAAACGATGGCGAGGACTTTGGTATGCTCTGCTTTATGCGTTAGCTAACTACTGTGGATTAATGTCTCGGTATACAGGAGAATAGAATGACTGAATGAGGACCATCAAAATCCCCTATTTTTTTAATGACGAGTGATCCCTCGTTCTCATCTCCAAGAAATCCTCCCGAAGCTTCCGCTGGGGAAGTTTTATTCATATTATTCTCCCAGTGGATGATTTGTCACTAGCTCGGGAGAGAGAAGGGCATAAAAGTCAATTTCCTTTGTGACAGCCATGTTGATGTGCCGCAGACAGGTATCTCCTTTAGGGGAGCTTGGACCTCTCAATTTACAACCTCCAAATAGAAGGCTCATGAACAG